GAGTCATTTCCAAATGACCCAAAATTGAGATGACCGATAATGACCGGTCATTTCGGGGTCATTTGAGGTCATTTGAATGAAAACCCGATACGTAGTATGGCTTATTCTGTATCAATTTTTGCTAAATTAATTTTTGGATCCTCAAATATATAAATTTTATATTTATATATGTATATGAAATTGACTTATTTAACCATTAAGATACAGCATATTAAATTTTGTAAGGCCTTACTGTTGGGTTAAAGGGTTCACTTAATACAAACCACCTTTTTCTTTATCGGACATTTCCATTAATTGTTAAGCATGAATTCGACAAAAACGTTTTATTTTGGAAATAATTTTCATGAAAAAACCGAATACCGGACAGTTGTCATTAAAGAAGTATCTAACGCTGTTTTATCTATTAAAGAAAAAAAAAAAAACTTGATGCATTAATAGCTTTAATATTTTTAGTTACTTCATCCATCATATGGGTGTTATATATGGCCGTCAGCATTTGTTTTGGCAGAATATATTTGGGAGAATCGAGATATGTTTAAAGATAAAACAATTTTAGAAGTAATCATTCTTTTAGCTCAGATAGATTGTCCTTAAACAATATAACAATAATAACGTAATATATTTAATATCAGCTAGGAGCAGGAACTTCATTACCAGGATTTTTATGCGCTTCACTATCACCTCAAACACATGTTATATTAACTGATCGGTCTGATTGTCCGCAGATCCTCGAAAACATTCATGATGGTGCGCGGTTGAATAGGTTGTTGATAACGTCCGATAATACTTCTACTGGATCATTACGATCAAATATTTGGATAAGAGGATTAACTTGGGGAGAATTTTGTTTTGGTAACCAAGAAAAAGATAATAATGAAAAAGGAAATTTATTACAATTGTTACGTGATATTGATCAAAATGGCAGGAAGTTGGATTGGATTTTGGGTAGTGATACATTTTATGATCCCAAAGGTGGTGTTCATTATTAAAGTGATATTTTTTTTTTGATGATTGAAATACATATATATATATATGTATGTATGTATGTATTTTTTTTAACGATTAACGATATTTACATTCTTAAAATTTAGACTTTGAGGATATAATCGCAACCATTGCATATATACTAAATTACCACACACAAAAAGCAAAGTTTCTAACTTCATATCAAGAACGAAGGTACGTATATATTTCTTCAAAGACCAAATACATAGGTTAAAATCAATCTTTTATCAATACTAATAGTTATCTTTAAAGTTCAAAGCGAACTATTCAATATTTACTAGATAAATGGAAACTTAAATGTCGACAAATATCTCTTAAGTCATTTAATTTTGATTATGACAAATATACTAGCAGTAATAACAGTGAGTTGATAAATAATACATCAGATGCAGCTTGTAGAAAAGAAATGATACACTCATCTTCACTGCAAAGCATTTTCTTGCTTGAAATTTGGAAAGCTTAAGCGACCTTTTCTTTTTTTTTTTTTTTTTATATTAAAATAATATAAATTCCTATGTAAACCTCTATTAAAAATCACTAAACCATTCTCATTCGATATTTTAAACTAAATAAATTATTAAATATAATATATATCAACATAATTGACATATTAATCAGCTTGCTACTTCATCATAACTAGGCGGTAATTCGCCCGGAACTACTGGTGGAGGTGCTACAGAATTAGCTGAAGTAGAATGAGGTTCTGTTGGTGGTGTAAAGTTGGATGATGCCGCTGTTCCCAATGTTTGTGTGGCTGTTGATGTTGTGGAATCTTCACGTGGTGTATAAGTTGGTAATGGCTCAGTATGCTCAATAAGAACATAATCTTCATTCTCTAATAAATAATGGTTAAATAAGAGTGGCTTTTATTAATTAACGATTAATTAATTAATTAACGATTATTAAATCAAAAACTTACCCGTAAGCCTCTGTATCAACTCGGTGTAACATGAGCTGAACTCATATCCTCCTGTTTAGTTTGCATTCAATTACTGGATTAACACAAATGCTAAATATTCTTAATTATAAAAATAATTAACTTGAAAACTATCCTAACCTCCTTCTTTGAAAGTAACTTTCATTAGCCCGGGAGATGGTAACCCACCATTTTGTACCTTTGTTTATTATAAAAATTATTATATTAACATTCAAAAATATTTGTGGGGATTGAAGCTGAAATTTTAGGTCTATAAAAGCCTATTAAAACCAATGTTGACAATTGGATCATCCAATAAATTTTATTGATCATTGCCCAATGCAACACTGACTATACTCTTATTAACAATCATAACTCTAAATTCAATCTTTTATTATAAAATTATTATATAAAATTGATAGTCAATTTCAGCTTCAGCCACCACATTAATTATTATTCAAATAATATTAAGTACTCACTGGTATTAAATGTGCTTGATAATAATTAGCGCCAAACCAAGGTTGTTGAAATTTTCCTTCTCTCAAATTCAAAAGAGGTATGCTTAAAGATTGAAAGTTAGGCAGTGTTGGGCGAGAAATAAATATGACCTATCCAAAAAATTGTTAAAAAAAAAAAAAATTATAATAAACACATTGCAAAATAATTTACTTACACGTTGGTTAGTAATAAAAATATTTCCTTCAGCTCTATAATCTCCTGGATTTCCAGGATATCCGCTAATAAAGTATGAGATCGTGTCAATATAATTACATATACAATATACTCTTTCGGATAAAAATCTGGTTTAATTAAAACTTGACATTACCCGCCTATCTCTAACGCCAGGGACACTTTTTCTTGACTAGATTTTTGGTAAAATCGAGAATTAAATTGTTATTTCAAAGAGACAGTTGGACTCAAAAATTATTCATACTAATTCAAACCTGAATAATATTTTTTCTCTGGGAAGAGGAACAGGACTTTTTCCATCGGACGCAATCATTACCCAATTCAAAGCCATTATGACACAAGTATGAAATCCTTGCTTCTCAAAAAAAAATTCAAAGTTTTTTTATAAGTACTATTCAATTGTAACACTTTATTCAATTTGAAGATTTCCTTAAACAGCTTATTGATTAAGGATGCACGTATGGGATTTGTTTTTATACGATGAATGGAGATTTGATGAATTTAAAAGGGTTTCAAAATTTTGTTTAATATAAAAAGCGTTAATGTTTCACGAATTACGTAAGCGCTAATATGATTTGCTCAGTATACGCTTCTTAGCCGATTTTCGATCACATGAGTTAACCCGAAAGGTTGTCCCATTTAGAGTCTCGTTTTATAATGCAGCCTAGGCGCCAATTAGCATCAAAACTAGCCTTTATTACCGTAACACATAGAACCGGGCTATTCAATTTATTTTTAGTCCAATATTGTTGGCTTGTAAAATTATCATAATTTTGCGTAATTGTGTGGTAAATGTAACTTGTAAATTGAACACATGATATGAAGTTTCTGAGATTGTGAAGTTAAAATATATTCAAATCAAATACTAAATTTGCAAATACTGACCAAACATTTTGTAAAGTCAGCACTTTATATATCGATATGCTATATCGTGAAAAAAAATATATTTGTATATACAAATAAATTTAAAAAATTGATATTTTTATACGTATATACTTGCAATTTTGATATTTATACTATTTACTGTAATTTAAAGATTAACGTTAATAAAATTTGCAATTTCAGTGATCGGATTAAATATCTGTTGGAGATACCGATCACTGATATACTGTACGTACAACAACTCCATGGGGACACTCACCAAATGCAACATAATAGAATTAGATACAGCAATCCTGGTCCCCAATAAAAATTGGCCAACACCCTATAGTCCTAAGCCCTAATAACCTACATATAAGTATATATATATAACCCTAGCTCTAACCCTACGTACGTACGTACGTACATCGTACCAATATATATTTTACCCACCATACGATAACATAAATATTTTTTGGATTTTACAAAACTAGTTTAAGATCTTGTCCAAGAACCATACCTTCATTAATAAAATATATTATAATTTTATTAATTTTATTTATTAATTTTCACGTATTTTATTCAATTTTCATATCAGTATCAACAAAATATATGCAATTGCTGTGCTAATTTTCATAATCGTGAATTAAATATTTGCAAAAGATTTAAAACTTAGACTAAGATATGCGAGAAACGCGATATTTTTTTTAATCGCAACGTCAATTTTGAGTAGATTAAAATGAATAGTCACTTTCGCTATAATAAAACGATAAGTTCCATTAATAAAATTTTTAAAAATTTACAAAGTTTTATCCATAAATTTACTATGTCGAATTTTTCTTTATAACAGATAATATACAAAATATAATAGTACCGTAAAAGAAATTCTTAAATCAACGATGCTTTTTTATAATCTAATCCTTACCTTAACATGAAGAGAGCCCACTCTATTTCTAAACATTAAATATGTAAATATTGTTAATGGTTTGGATTTACTGTTTTGTACTAACTTTAGTACAGTTTGCAAAATGCATAAAAAATCCAAAAAATTAAAAAACTTAATTTTTTTTATATACAAAAATCTGATAAATCTTCAAAAATTGTTTAGATTCAGCATCAATAACTCTTTCTGACAATCACTTGGTTCAAAATTTTCCAAAAAAACTTTTCAACAAAAATAGTAAAAACCAACTTCTCAGGTTATAAGTTGAAAAAAGAAGAGACTATAAAATAGTATTTGTTATTTAGAGGTAGTTCTCATATGCTACCTGCCAACAGTTTCAGAGTTTATCACTCACTGCAAACTCGGCACTTGTCATTTAGAGGTAGTTCTCATATGTTACCTGCCAACAAGTTTAGAGTTTATCACTCACTAACAAAATTCAAGTAGTGTACTGCCTAGGTAGAAGGCTATTTCTGTTATTTTTAATAACTCACTCTTTTAAATAGTATTAAGAGGTCTCTCTTTTGTTTTCATTTTTTGTCATTCTCACCAAAATTTTCGACAAAAAATGGGTTTTTCGGCTTACCCTCTCCAAAAAATCAGCATTGTTTATATCTACCAAATCGGAATAAACTTAGTAGAAGGCAACTATGTGTTTTGTTGTTTTGCAAATATGGTACTATGATATGAAAAAGAGATCTTTAGAAAATACCCAAGTCAGTACCTGGAACGAGTCCCAAGGTTAAAATAAAGTTTTTACAATCGAGATATAGTAATTAATTGCAATTATTATATAATTTTACCCTTATACCTGGCATGAGCTATAATAGTGTATTATGATTAGGGTTCCTAGGTTCAGTTCAGTTCAAGTTCAGGTTCAATGAACCTGAACTGAACCTGAACCTGAACCACAAATTT